AGATTTCAAATGTCTCCTAGACATTTATGTAGGAATGTGCAATAAGCAATTGGCTTTAGTAGTCTACAGATTTCAGAAAAAAAGGTTGGGGAAAGTTCATCAGTGTAGAAAAAGTATTGAGAAGTGAAACTGACACCTCCCCAGTCACAGGGATTAAAGTCTCAATGCTATCAAGCTATCACCAGCCACTGCGGCTGGATTGTGTGTGTGTTTATGCAGTCTTTTCCCCTGTGATTTCCAACTGAATTTAGGTTTAACCTCTCACCGGGATTATGAATAATCTCTTATTTATACCCCTACCGCTAAACTTAGCCTAGTGCAATCTACCTTTCACCCTATTGTCAAAGAAAATTTTCCAAAGTAACTATCTGATCACATTACTCTTTTGAAAATCCTCAGGATCTAAACTGGTTTCTAAACACTGGAGTGCCACAGGTCAGTATTTCCCCCTTTTAAATGTTGTGTTGATATCTCTATTAGGGCACACGTCTAATTATGAATTGCAGTCATTACCTTTCCACTAGACTGTGACTTCTGTGAGAATAGGGACAATGATTTCATTAACCTTATCATACTCATTCAACAATATTTGTTGAGAGACTATTACATGCCAAGAAACATCCTCAGTGTTGGGATAATGTAAGCAAAACAAACAAATTCCCTGTCCTCAGTTGTATTTATGACCTAGTTAGGTAGAGAAGTATCAAATAAGCAGCATATTTTGGATATGTCTTTTATCATGTGTTTTGTAAAGATTTTTCATTCTCTTAATAATGTTTCTCACAGAACAGAGATCTTAAATTTTAATAAAATCCAACTTTTTCTTCTATGAATTGCTTTTGGTATTGTATGTCATAGCTAATTACCAAACACAAGGTCCCCTATATTTTCTTCTAATTTAGCTTCTGAAATTTTTATAGTTTTGCATTTTAACACTTAGGGCTATGACCCATTTTGAGTTACTTTTTGAAAATCATTTAAGGCCTCTGTCTAGATTCCTTATTTATTTTTTGATAGATTCAGGTTTATTTGACAAATGTTATCAGTCAGGGTGAGGAGAGCCCCAGGGCCCCCAAACCTGCCTGTTCTAAATAATCCTCCACAGCAAGACAAACATATTCTACCAAGACCTTTAATGGAAAGGAACTCTAGTACAAGTGGGCCTGCCCAGTGGCCTGGGTGTAATTCTTAGCACAATTACCACTTAGGCCTTGAGTTTAATCCCCCCTGGCCAGGGAGCTAACCAACATGGCACAGAAGACCTCTCCCATCTTGCTCTCCTTAGCAGTGTATTTTGTAAATCCACCTGTTCTGCTGCCCACTGTCTCTGGTGAATCCACTCACCACCACCACCACCCCCATCATGTCTGTCTTACATCCAGTTCTTCTATGAAAAAAAAAAAAGAGAAAAGGGAAAAAATACATAAGATAGATTTTTCACAAAACATCCAAAGTTACCATCAACTTGTGGGTAAATGCCCAGCCAAATGGGTTGGTTCAAAGAAGGGCAGAGCACTGAGGCCCAAAGCTTACCACAAGTGTAAGGCCAAACAATCTGGAAGGAAAAGAGCAAGATCAAAATCAAGATAAATGTTGCCACTGTTAACCTCCTCATGGGTCTCTCACAAGTTTCAAGCCCTCAAGTTCCTGGCAGAAGTCCAAAGCCAAGCAGCAAGCAGTTTCTTGATAACATTTCAGCTCCAAGTGCCACCTCCAGGTTTCCTTCTCGATCTTCTTCTTTCTCCCAGTCTCCCTCCAGCTTTTTCCTCCATGCTTAGCTCCATCCTTCCTTGGGGATCACCATGTTACATAAATATCACAGGAAGACACCAGTACTCTGCAGGTAGCAGCCCAAGGGGCACATAGGTCCTTCTATCCTCACATGGACAGATAGGGAGCATTTTGGGGGGTAATTACCTTTAAGCCAGGTATCACATAACAGTGAAGGGACACCAGAGTCCTGGGAATGTGTGTGTACATAAAAAAATTCACCAGAGACAGTATGGAAAGTTGAAAAGGCAGATTTATTGATTACCCAAAGAGAGGAGTTTGAAGCACATTTTATACTTTGAATTTGTGTACTTTCTAAGATATAGGGCGCTGGTTTGGGCTGGCTGCCGTCTACTAAAGTGTCAGGACTGTGATTTGTCTCTGCATTTTTAAAATTTCTATCAGCCTTTAAGGGTTATGGCTGTATTTCAATTAATAATAATTTGGTTACCCTAACCCCAAAGTCTGCCAGGTTCCCAGGATAACTCTTGAGTTCCTTTTATCTGTTCAAAACTTCCCATTCCAGTCTACAAGACAAAGGAGAAATGGAATCTTGAACCCCATAAACCCTAGCAAGCACATGTGACATCCAGCACAACTTTCACAACATATTCTGAGGCCCTAGGCCACATCCTTTGACTGGGTTTGAGCCTTTGTCACTGGCTGGGAGAGCGGAGACTCTTGACAATGAGATCACATACACATTTCCCAAGATTTTGGTGAAAGATGTAACCAAGTCCACTGAGCTTATGGCTGCTTCCCTTTGTAATGTTAGCCTTGACCTCCTTGGGCTTTACAAAGTCCTTAAGAGCTCCAGCATATACACTTATGGCCTTGGCATTGTTAGTCTGCTTTTCAGGCCCTTCTTGTTGTGCTTCTGACAAAAACATGTTCCTTAAGAACTTGAGTTTTATCTCCTTAAGTGAATCATATCTTTGTAATTGGGGTTTTTTGATGACATTTCTATGTCATGTTGGGAAATATTGTGCATCACGTGGCTCCTGGACGTGGCCATGTTTCCACCAAGGCCTGCAAGTCCCCAAACATCTTGGGCTAGGTAAAAGTGTGCTTTGATTCCTTGAGCAATGGGAGGCACTTGAACGTGCAGTTGTTCAAGTGTTTGTTCAGTTGTTTGTTGAAGACTTTCCTTTCTCAACTGATTTACTTTTCTCCTTTGTCAAAAATCATTTAAGACTGTATTTATTTTTGTGGGTCTATACAGGCTTTCTATTTGGTTCAACAATCTATGTATTTATTCTTTTGCTATCCTTATTACTCTACTTCAGAAATTAGATAGTATAAATCAAATTTCTCTGGTAATATATTGGTTATTTTGGGTCTGCTGCCTTTCCATATAAATTTTAGAATCAATTTGTTGATATCTACAAAAAACATGTTAAATAGGGATTGAAGTGAATCAAAACAGTAGATTGGGATGAACTTTTAACAATACCACATCTTCCAAAACCATGAATTCAGGTATCATTCCATTACATCTTCTTTGATTTCCTTAATCAAAGTTTTGTAGTTTTCTGCATATAGATGTACATGTTTTACATTTTTGTCTGGGTATTTTTTTATAAATTGTCTTATCTTTTTAATTTCAAATTTCATTTATACATCGCTGCATAATAGGAAAACTAACTTTTGTATACAATCTTGCTAAAATTTCCAGTTTCTTCTATACTTTAAGGTTTTCTACATAAGTCATTAGATCATCTGTTAAGTCAGTTTTCTTTCTTCCTTCCCAGTCTCTTTACCTTCTATTTCTCTGATGGTATTAGACAGGGTTATACAGTTCAGAGCTGAAAGTTGATAGGACATCCTTGTTTTACAGGAAAGCTGCTAGTTTCTACAAGAATGATACTAGGATTTTTATATTTTTGTCAAATTAAGGCAATTTTTCTCTATTCATTGTTTTACAATTTTTTTTTTTTTATCATGAACCCATGTTGGAGGTAGACATTGGCCTAAAAAAAGTATGAAAAACGTTGACCTAAATCAAACTATCCTGGAGTTTTTCTAAGCGGCATGAGGTGAGGAAAGCAAGGTTGGTAAGAAATGAAGTTATTTACACTCTTAAGTGATAGCTGCCTACTACAACAGTTGAACACTGCAATGTATGGGGGTGGGGGAAGTAGGCAGAGCCAAGTTATTTACACTCTTAAGTGATAGCTGCCTACTACAACAGTTGAACACTGCAATGTATGGGGGTGGGGGAAGTAGGCAGAGCCAAGATCGTATAGTGAGCAGAGGAGCCCCAAAACGGTGACAAAGGCCTATTGCCTCAACCAGGAACTCAAGAGTAACATCTGCCCTTTAGAAGTATGATTACCTGTAATCTCTTAACACAGAGGACTTAAAACGTAGAAACTTTTTCACACACAATAACGCACTGACTCAAACCAAGACTGACCCCACTCTATTTTAGAAAATCTTTTTTTCAGTTCACCTTGTGTTGCTTGGATTTAACCTCCCTCTCTTTAAATCACGTTGCAGTGTTTAAATTACACCTCAATACACACCCGAGAATTACTTCAAAGATTCAGTTTTTTCTAGTTACTAACTGGATAACCTTAGAGAAGGAAAAAATAAAGGCCTGAGAAGCTGTGGCATTTCAAACTGGAGGATAATATAGGCAAAGAGCCCTGCCTTGGGGCACAATCGCGTACAAGCTACTGCACTGTGCCAACGAGGCCCAAGGCGTCCCGACACTGGTGTGGAAGGCCCACAAAAGTGCTAGGAGAAACGCAAGACAAAAAAATAGAGTTTTGACATAAAGCCTCAGCACACGAAGGTACTCTGTCTTTAAAGAGTTGCCAGACACCGGTCCAAAGAACCGGCTCGAGTTTCAGAGTTCACGCCCAAAACCCGAGGCTCAGCCCTTCCCTCCGGGTCTCCCCGCCCCTTCGCGCCGCCAACCCTAACCCAGCATGCACCGCGCCAACCTTTTCCTTTTGAGCCGAACCCCACCTTCGGCGCCTCCAAATGACAACTGGCGCAGAGGATTGTGGTCCGCGCATGAGAACGAGACCGGGAGCAGTAGAAGAGTCAAAGCCCAGGGCGAGCCGGCAGGGCGGCCTCCCACGCACGCGCACGAACGGCGACCGGGGTTTAAAAAAAGGGGGGGGCGGGACGTAAACTACGGCAAGCGGAGTGGGGCGGAGTCGCGCGGCCTTGGCGGGGAGTCCGCGAGCTGGGAGGGAGGGGCGGGGGTGGGGAAGGGAGCGGGCGGAGGAGGAAGTGTCATGGCGTCGGGCCGTGGAGCTTCTTCTCGCTGGTTCTTTACTCGGGAACAGCTGGAGAACACGCCGAGCCGCCGCTGTGGAGTGGAAGCGGATAAAGAGCTCTCGTACCGCCAGCAGGCGGCCAACCTCATCCAGGACATGGGACAGCGTCTCAATGTGTATCCTTTCCTGTTCTTGGCCCTCTATCGCTCACGCCCTATCCCCCCTCACTACTCGCCGGGTCGCCGGGCCTGGTGCTCCGCGAATATGGCGCCGCCGCTTCAGTCTTCGCAGGGCTTAGGCCGAAGTGTAGGGGAAGGCGAGCTTACGCTAGGGACACGGCCAGCGAAGGAAGAAATGAGTCCGAGAATGCGGACTGGGAAACTGGATTGTGTAATCTCTTTGGGGCCGCGCGTGGTGATGGCGGGGGATGGGAGTGCTACCTAGGCGAAAGGAAATCTTACTGCAGAAAGGAGATAACTGCTTTCACTTCTCTTCGGAGAAAGGGTTGAGAAGGTAGGAAGGTGTTAGCGATGCTGAAAAGCCTAAGTGCTCTCTGCTGCCTTTCCCCACGCTCCTCGCCGTTTTGATGGCGGTTCTCTTCTACCTTGGGAACGCTCTGGAGGTCTTTATGTTCTTGGCGTGGTTTTGTATGGGTGTGCGCGCGCGCGTTTCAACTGTTTGTAAGTTGAGTCGGTCAGAGCCATTGATAAATCATTCCTGGGCTCGCTTAATTGTAGTATCGGAGTGAAATGCTGAGCATTTATTACGGCTCTTTATGTGGCGTCGAGCACTCCCCCTTACACAAACATCGTTCTCCCCAACACACACACACCCTATGAGTATTTATTTATTTTACGATTTTTGGCTTGGTTTTGAGTGAACGGGAGGCAATGGAAAAGAACAGAGATGGGGAATTTTCCATCAAAATAGTTTTGGAAATGAGATCTTATTTTTCTCGGATATTTCCTAAATGTTATGTTTCAGCTCTCAGCTTACAATAAACACTGCGATTGTTTATATGCACAGGTTTTACATGCACCATTCTTTCACCAAATTCAATAGAAATGTAAGTACTATTTTATTTTTTTCTTTTCTATCACCAAATTTTAAGGTAAATCGGTACGCAAAAAAAAGTTGGTGGGTCATGGATTTTGCTTTTGGATGTAGTGTTCAAAGTTAACTGAAGGTAAATCGCATCGTTTGGTTTCAAATACTAGGGTTTGGGGTTCGTTTTTAATTTTTTTAATTTGTGATGACTTAATTTCCAGACATTGTATTAGACTCTCCCAGGTATTTTGAACCCAATGATAAATGAGAAACATATCTTTACTCAGCATTATTTTACATCCGTATTCATTATTTAAATTTTATGTTTAAAATTTGAGTAATTTCAGTAAGTGGTGTACATTGTAACTTCAGCAAGTTTAGTCTTTCTCTTGTGCATCTTGTGTTGAATTCATCTTTTCCCCCCAAAATATTATAATTGGGCCTGATTTTACTTGCTTGTAACATTGTTTTGAAGTGACTTTGAGTTAACTCTTTGAGTTCATTTACTAACAATTCCTTAGCAAGTCAAATATTTCTGTTAACACATTAGCAATATTTGTCTACTTGACTTTTTGGTGATTAAAACGTCAGCTCTTGATTCTAATACACTAAGTCAGGGGTGTGTTTGTAGTTAATTTTGTTTTGTCATTAAAATTAACCTTTGAGAACTATATAAGTACATGTTTTGAACATAGTCTGTAAAATTTGACAGTTGTATAATGGTGTTTGGTTGAGAATTTTACTAAGTTATGAAAATGTGTACTTTTCAGAGTAACATGAACCTGTTAAATCGCTCATTTAGAAATATTAAACCTACCATAATTCTCACTTTTTTTTTGCTCTTTTTATCACAGCTATTTTTAGGATGCTGTTCTGAAAAGTGTGTGTAGAAAAATGGACCATGGAAGACTTAATGCTATTTGTGGTTGTCATTAGCACTTTTTTTTTTTTTTTTGCTAAGAAAACAATCTTTGCAAAGGTCCTTAAGCTATATTTTTTTTAATAGAAGAAAAACTTGATGATTTGGTTCCCATTTTAATCTCTTCTGACCATAAATCTAACTTGGTTTATCAGATTGGCATTTTTATTTATCTTGAACAATATATACATATGTATTGATTTTAGTCTCTTATAATCTGTTCCTTGAACTCTTCCTCTTTTAAGTTTTTTTTCCATTTTTCCTAGTTATTTTTGGTGCACAGCTTAATGATAGTGTTGTGAAAGGAAAGGTAACCCTTTTGGTAATCACTTTTTGGTTGTTTTCCAAAGCAATAACAAACATATGGATACTGACATAAATATGGCTTTTCTTAAGTGACCCTGGAAAATGCCAACAGTAATAAAGTCAGTAAGTCCTGGAGATACTTTATATAACTACACTTGTCTTATTTGCTGAATCAGGTTTTTCTACTTCCAATAAATGATTTCACCATGGGACTTTGCTTCTCTTTTGTCACCCTTTCTTTCATAATTTGTCTCTGTGGTTGGTGTGCTTTGAAACACTTGTTTACAGCTCAAATTTAAGCTTGACTGTGAAGCCCAGGTCACTTGGATTTTAACTTTAACAATTTTATGTAAATACCACCTTTCAATTACAAAGCCTATGTATTTTTAGTGTCCTACTTAGTGTCTAACATGTGCATGAAACATTTTACAATTAGTCATTATTTACAGAATAATTGAAATTATTAATTTCAAATTTGAAAAGTAACATTGTACTCTTCTAACATTGTCTTTTTCATCTTTGCTGTTATATCAAAGTTTTAATGTATGTAGTGCATTTGCATTAATTACACAGCCTTATTCTTTTTCCCCCTTTTTTTTTCTTCCTTTTTTAGGGTGAGGTGGGTGGTCACAAATTGAATGTGACTTTTCAACTCATACCCCCTGAATCATTGGGGAAATTTTTCCTACAATGTCATAATGGATTGTCATAGTAAATTTACAAAATGCATGAGTCTTCGCCTTAAAATAAACTAAATTTGGGTAAACTATATCAAAGTTTATAATAAATATGTGCTTTACATATGAAAGCTTTGTTTATGTGACTTATTTTTCATACTGACAAGTTTAAAAGTAAAAAAAAAATCATCTAAAAGTAAAGTGCTGATGTATTTAAGAATAAAATCAGCATGAATATGTGTTGTTGGTGACCCAGAAACACTTTTATCTTTGAGTTCTAGTGTCACTTTCTCTGGGGAGGCTTGGAGCACTATCAGTAGTATTTGACATTTCTGTGTAACCTAATTAGGTAAATATACTTTTGCTTGCTTGGTACAGTGAAGATTATGTAATTGGGATTAGTAATTAAAGAATGGCCTTGCTGGATCAAGTTCAAGATCATTTAGTAAAACAAAAAGTCTTTAGAGCCAGCAGTATTGCTGTGGCAGCGGCATCTTCACAGTTATTCTTTGGGTGGACATTGACCCAGCTTTCTCTTAGAAACTGTTTATTGATTTGGTTTGTTACATTTATAATGCATTTGTTTCTATATTCCAAATTTAATTAGTTCTCTTAAGATCAAGTGGTAAAGAGCACATTCTTTTCTGATTATTTTTGGTCATTTTTGAAATAGTCTCATAAAAGTCATCGAGTCATTTTAATCTCCCTTAGATCCATTGCTTCTTTTCTAAGCCCCAACAATCGGAACTGCATATAATATGCCATATTTAAATGTAGTGTAGTTCTGTTTAAAGTCCTAATAGTACATGGTTAAGGATGCTACATAGATACTAATGATTTTTAGGAATGACTCCATGTGTCATTTTGTGATGGCATCTAAGCTCATTTGATCAGCTGCTACATAAGTAAGGTTGTGTTTAAATTTGATTACCACTCTTTGCTTAGTCTCTTTAGTCTTTCTCTAAGACTTTCTCAGTTGGCTCTTGACTAGAAGTCATTTGAAAATTTGAGGGTTCTTTTTACATTCCTTCCCTCCCCCAAAGTCTTAAAAAAGAAAGGCCTGCCTCTTTTTGTCCAGAGGAGTACCCACAATCCACATTCTTAAGCTAATAAAATGTGTGCTTTCTCTTGTTAACATTTTTAGCAACATTGTTCTGCAGTACACATATATTCAAGACTTTTAAAAGTGGGTATTATCCCATTTACACTGCCTGCTAATCTACACTTGTTATTCATAAAATTGTCATAAATGGTTACCTTTTGTGATAGAAAAGGGATGTAAACTCCCTCAGACCCAATTGTCTTAAGCCCCCTGCTTTGTAGCATTTGCTATCAATGGTTTTTGTGTGCCCTTTTTAAAATACTTTGCTTATGAGAGGGGGAAGTGCGGGAGACTATGGTAATGGCATACAGGTGAATTGGTGGTGGGAAGTCCACAGGGATTACAACTGAAATGGAAAAAGGCACAAAATGATGTAAAAATAAACTATTATAAAAATTTTTTGAAGTCAAATACTACTGAAAAAAAGTACTTTGCTTCATAGCATATATGTATCTTTTCTCAGCAAAAGAAAATTTTGTTTTCATTATTATTCTAGACACGGCAGCAATATGATAACAAAGGATTAGAATGGACCTAGTTGAGTTATGTGTGACTGCTTCTGAGGAAGTAATTACTAAGGTGGAACCGGTCCAAAATGTCAGTAGTGGTAAGGTTGAGAAAATACTAGTTTAAAGAATTAACTGAGTGAAGGAGACTAAAGCTATGTTATCACTAGATTAATTTTAAATGTTTGCTGAATTTCTTATCTAGTAAGAAATTGGGGCCTATCCATTTGTAATTCCTCACAGACTTAAACATAAATGATCCTATTTATAATATTTTTCCAATTGAGGTGTTTAGGGACACTGGTTTAGGTTTTTGACATTTAAAGTTTAAGTTTAGTATGTTCATTGTTGCCCTTCTATGAAGTACTACTATGTTGTTGAGCTTGTTTATGAATTTCTCATATTAGTGAATGTTTTTCTGTTTGTCTTTTAATTTTATGATATTTGACATAAAGTATTTTTGTTTATCAAGTTAGTCTTCAGTTTTGTTTTCTTTTCTCCACCTTTATGCATATCTCGAAATAAGTGTTTCCTTGTGCTTATTGATTTCATGGGCAGAATTTTTCAGTTCTCTATTTTTAATCCTTCTTACATTGTTTGGGTATGTAGTTCCTAAACATTTAGTTGAAATTGATATTCTTTTTCTTAATGCAGATAAGGAAGATAAGTATTACAAAGATTGAGTAACCTGTCTCACATAACAGACAATAGAATGAAAAAAGCAAAACTCACCTCCAAATGTAGACCCCATTGCTTACACAACAAGCACTATCTCCTTCACATATTTGTTACTAGGAATCTCTTCATAATCCTGAAATTTCTGAACTAAGGCAATATAACTTAAAGATTTTGTCCACTTATGATTTACCTACATCATAATTAACTGCATGCTCATTAAAAATACACTTTCCTACCATAGATCTGTGTAATCAGAATGTTTGTGGTAGAATCTGGTATTTAACAAACTTCCTGCTACATTTGAAAACTGATAGTTTAAATTTCCCTTTTTTCCCTTGTGTGTCTGTCTCATCCACTGTTAACTTTGATTCTGTTTTAAAGGAATCAAGTCAGCATGTATTCCATTCTTCTGCCTTCTAGAGTAAAGCATCTTGTGAAGTCCAAGCAATTGTTTATATTATAGCTCACTTCTGCCTTCTAATTTAATAATGCAATTTAGTCCAAGAATAGTCTTAATACTACAATGCTGTCCAAAGAATTTTCTCTAGTAATGAAAGTGTTCTGTATCTGTTCACAATGAAACTAACCAAACAGCATGGTATATGGATTAGAAATTATTAGGATAGATAACTTCTAAGTTCTTTTCATAATTGCATGGATGAAAATTTAAGATCACACCGTGGGGCCCTTCCTTGTGGTCAAGGGGTTAATATGCAGCACTGCAAGTGAGCTACAGCTGCTTCGTTGTGAATTCGATCTCTGACCCTGAAGGTGACCCACAAGGTGTGGCAGACCTCTCCTGTCTCCCTGCTGCTCCCCTCAGCAGTGTAC